ACTTAAATCAACTCGTGTGTCATACAATGCGAACTCTGGAAATGTGAAGTGCAACAGTACCTCATTGTAACCACGGACCGGGTCGTCGCGGGGCGTACTACGATCCAGACAAAGTGTAACAAGTTTGTTAGTCACCGTGATTCTGAGTTGTTTACCTGGTTATCTCATTATATGTGACTGACCAATAATCCATTATATCATGCAACTTGTTTTCAGTTGGTCTTCTTCATACAAATATCCAATCGCGGTTTGTGATCCTCCAACACCCTGTATTAGGTGACTCGAGTATGGTATTTCATATTCGCACTATCATGCAAAACGATCAGGAGTTTCCGCACAATCAGTGTGATGGCTTTTATGACTAAGAATGAAAAGTACAATACACGAACGTATTGGATTCTTTTCAGCGGATACGCATCTCATAAGCGCCACTTTTTGAATCATCCCCGACACCGTGATAATTCCAGCCGCTGCCACGGATGATACGTTTTATATGTCTGCGAGCTATGGATAATCATACCGATGTCTCCAATTATGCATTTCGGGTTGATTGTCTTATTTTCTCTACGTTTTTAGGATTATGTATTAGATATCATACACAATTGAAAATTGCCTTTTATGCAGTTATATGTATCAATCTGCTGATTCGCGTCCAATAATCGCCTCACAATCCAATAGGCAGTACGAATTTATGATCGTTCAAACCATACGAGTTGCCTGATAGGCGGTGTTGTCCGTTATTGATTGCGGTACTTTTACCTTGTGTCATGCGGTGTGGTTTATGAAGATACATTATCACGGATAGTCCTTCAAATGTCATGTACGATTTTGTCACACGGCACGGGTTGAGGCGTGATTTTGACAATTGGCCGGTTTATGGATGCACATTTTTGCTCCTTTTTTTAACATGAGGTTGTTTGTTGTAAATGAAATTGCATGATAAAGACCAATTTGATATTTTGATGGGCTTGGTGTCCTCCTTGTGACAAACTTAGTATTGTCTCACTCATACATACCCTGCTTACACTTATTCTTCTCGCAATTCATCTCAATTTGCCAAATGCCTCCTCGTCATCGCGAAAAGGGGTTAGCGGTGCCAGAAGAGATTTACGGATCTGAAGTAAATTTGTTGTATCGGTTCAGTCAAGAAATGCCTTACGATGTGGGTCCTGATGATAGTTGTACCGGTTGTGGTGCATTCAGGTGGAAAATTGAGCGGCGTCAATCAGACGCAAATCGTTCTCGAGCTTCTTTTCGCAATTGCTGCAAGCATGGGGCAATTGATCTCCCTCTTCGTTATTTTCCTGCCGATGTTGGTGAACAAATTCCCCAATTCTTTTGTGACCTACTGAGTGGGCGTGATAGACGTGAGCACTTTTTGATATTTCGTGTTTGCTTCGATTGTGGATAGTGTTGTGACTCTATTGCTACTCAATACAGGTTCGTGTGGGTTTCGCGAGAAAATTCAAAATTATAACAATGCACTTTCATTCACTTCGATGGGAGTAACACTGGGCAGATGTAGTATTTTTCCCAAGTGAAAAATGATTGACCTGAAGGACAAACAAAATTGAAAAAGGTAGAATTCTGAATTCATTTTGTGTGTGCATTAACACTGCATTTTACTGCATTGATGCTGCATTTTTCCACATGAATGGTGCATTAATAGTGCATTTTTATGCATTAACACAGCATTTTTAATCATTTTGACATTAATTTTAATCATTTTGCATGGTGGAAAAATACTACATCTGCACAGTGTAAAGATGGACAGGACCGTTCTTGACGGTCGTGGCCCGTATGTATTTAGAATGCACGGTGGGATAACTCATAATATAGGATCGTTGATGCCCTTGGATGGAACAGATCCAGGTTTTGCTCAAATATTCATTTACGGTGGTGGCGGTATGGACGAAGACAATCTCCGCGTGCGACGTAGCAATTCCGACATCAATCCCAACATACTGTTCCTATTTCAACAATACATGTATGAACACAATCCTTATGCACGTGTATTCAAGTCGGCCGCCGAGATATGCAACGAGTCTCGTGAAATTCCCCGTACCCTGAGTATTAAGACTATTTTAGCTCCCGGCAGGGATCATCGTCGTTACAACAAACCGACGGCCAATGAAGTCGCAGCAATTATAGAAGGTGATGGGCAAGTGGGAAAGCGTCAGCGCGATATCATCTTGAGAAGGAAGAGCGGCGAGACAGAACCTATTTCTGAATTGCACACGGCATACTTTGCGCTTCGGTATCCATTGTTGTTCTTGCATGGCTCACAAATGTGGCACGAGGCATACAGGAATCCAACCCCTAAAAGTAAGTCATACCGCACCTGATTTTATGGTTGTGGTTGTCGCGCATCTGATTTTTTCTGGCGGATTTCTTAACTTAGATAAATCGGGTAAAATTTCAAACTTGCAATGGTTTGCGTACCTTCTTTTTCAACGTCCTGCGTATTTGGTTATACTAGCCTCCGGCCGATTGTTTCAAGAATTTGCTGTGGACATGTATGTTTGTGTTGAGCACTCCAGGCTCCAATACCTTTGATACAATCAAAAGAAATTACGAGCTGAGGTATATAGTGGCGCGGTAGAGGCTCTAGGTAATGAAGTGGATGAAGAGGTGGTACGGAAAAGAGTTGTATTACCGTCAAGCTTTATTGGAGGACCAAGGAGCATTCAACAGCTATACCAGGACTCAATGACTTTGGTGTCCGAATATGGCAACCCAAGTCTCTTCATCACGATGACTGCTAACCCAGATTGGCCTGAAATTACAGACGCCCTTGAGGACAACCAGACTTCATACGACAGGCCAGATCTTGTTGCGCGGGCTTTTTATAACAGGTTCCACAGCATGCTGCATGATGTGACAAAATTCGCTAGATTTGGAGAGTGCCCTGCTTATGTTTATACAATCGAATTCCAGAAGAGAGGTTTGCCGCACGCCCATCTGATACTTTTCCTACATCATGGTTCAAAACCCGATACACCTGAACAAGTCGATTGCCTAATTTCGGCACAGCTACCAGATCCTGTCCACGAACCTTTGTTGTACGAATTGGTCACGGAAAACATGTTGCATGGACCTTGCCAATCGTACAAGTGTTGGACTGGATCGGATTGCAAACTAGGTTACCCAAGGCCATTTACCAAACATACAACTTTGACAGACTCCTCTTACCCTTGCTACAAACGACCCAACAATGGCCAATTTTTCCAAAAAGGTGTTGATCGATTTGACAATGGGAGTGTTGTACCACACAATCGATTTCTGCTTCTAAAGTACAAATGTCATATCAATGTTGAAGTCGCGCACAGCATCCAGGGCAATCAAGTATCTATTCAAGTACATTC